CACACGAGAGAGAAGTGAAGCGGGTTGTAAGCTTACAGCTGGCTTAGACTCAAGAATTGAGAAACTTGTGAGAGAGATAAGTGGGTCATGTATTAATAGTGAAGAGCTAACTACTATATGGGTGGGTTGAGTGAAGGCTGCAAAGATCCTTACAGTCGGTCTCTAAGCGAACCCCTTAATCGTAAAACTTTCACTAGCACCTAGATCGAGCAGCCCCCGCTGCGCCTAGATGCCGGTAGTACCCAATCTTGAAGGCCTTCTCCCAACATCGATGCTGCTGCCGGAGGAGTTGGAGAAGGAGCGCCTTGGCGATGAAGAAAATATAGAAGGTTGGCTCAAGAGCTTTGTATCTATCTGTATCTAAAGGAGGAAGGAGTGTGTGGATTGCCAAGAAGTGCATCTAGCCCCGGCTTAAATAGGCCACCCTTGAAGATGGAGAAGCAGAGAGGAGCAGTTAAGATGCGTGATCTAGGCATACGCATCAAGGAAGACGCCGGTCCCTAGGGAAAGTGGTGAGACGGTGTTGGAAGTTGGGACATTCATTACTCACACACTAAATCGGCATTCCATACGATGTGGTTCAAATTCCCTGGCATTATTATTACTTAATGACGCGCAATATTTGGTGGACCAAAGGGACGGGCGCATGCGTACATGGGAACTCGAAGTTGCTACGCCCACCTACACCATGTGAACGCGTATTGATAAGAGCGGTGTAGATGAGGGATCATTATACTCATAGATAATCGCTTCTTTGTAAATCCTTCTATAAAAGAAGGAAGCAGAATGAACATGGGTACATGGCAGCACGTGTATACACAAGAGAGAAAATTATTCAAGCCATCCAAGTACCACTGTTCTAATTGTGCACATGTATACCACATGATGCGCCTATGGTACTAAACAGATCACCTTTATTTACATTGGGAACCCTTGCCACTTGATGAAATAGAGCACATGCCCACCGTATCATCCTCCTAAAAGACTTGAACGAGGCGAACATTACACTAATAAAGTGATGCAAGCAACTTTCATTGATAAAGTCCATTACATTAAATAGGTTTACAATATCGAACAAGAGATGTACGATAACAAAGACCTAACGAGTATGGGGCTAACCCATACCCAACTGTGGCTTGCGCTTGTGCATGAGAAACTGGTCACTTGTACCAAGCGGACACCAGAACCCCTTCAAGCGCTCTCTGCCGCATACCCGATGAAATCCGGTGCGGAGAAGGAGCCTCACGAGGAGGAGCCCCAAGAGGAGGAGGAGCCCCACAAGAAGACCAACCCCCATAAGAAACCATGGGGAAGAGAGGAATACCATTGCAAAATACCCCAGTCACTGAGGTCCACCGCCGGTGCTCTGGCTGTAATGCTACAACCGGTGTCCTGGCGGAGGGCCGTTTGATGGCTGCATTCTTCTCAATCTTCACGAAACTTCCACTAACACCCAGGATGAACGGACATATAGCCGCGCGCAGGTGGTGGTGGAAGCTAATCTTGAAGGCCTTCTCCCAGCGGCGCTGGAGTCGATACAGGACGAGGGAGGCCATGGTCACGCGAGACTACGTGCAACTCTAGGTTTTCTCTGTTTTTCTGGGAGGCACAAGGATTGGAGTTTGCTAGCGAGACTCCCCTTACCTTTTCTTAAATAGCCCCACCCCCAACTCAAGACACGAGCGGGGAAGGCAACAGTCAAGGTGGGTGACTTCCGCGGCCACCCATGCGAGTCACAGGCGACTCGGCACAGAACACGATGCGGTTCTGATTCCTTGGCACATTTGATTCCCTGCCACATTTCATCCTCATCATAAATAGGACTTATAGTGACGCGCAATACCTGGTGGACCAAACGTCACGCGCATGCGTACATGGGAAATCAGAGTCCATGGGGAAGATTCATCAAATACCCTCACATGTGTACATCATATGATACGATGAGTTTTCAAATCAAATCACCGTTATTTACTACAAGAACCAGTAATGTTTGACCTAATAGCGTACATGCACACCGTATCATATGCCCATGTACCTAAACCGCGCAAAGTTAAGGGGGAAACTAGTGCCACAAAGTAGTACGATAATATACATGCAAATAACTGATCACATATTAGTGCCACAAAGTAGCACGACAATTAAGCAGTCTCATGATTCACCATTGACACAAGTCATTGAACAAATAACAAATAACAAATCACCTCTACTCCTCGTCGGAATCACCATCCTCATCCTTGTTGTTGGTATCAACGTCATTGTCCTTGTCAGCGGTGATGCGGTTGGCCACCTGCTCAGCATCGGCGCGAACTAGGTTGTGCCAGTGCTTCTCGATGTTGCCGACAGTGCTGATTCCCTACGTCGCGACGCTAGTGTTGAAACAAATTCAATATCATTCCATCCAAACACATTCAGCATGCTGACAATATGCTTCAATGTCCATTCATTAGTACCATAGTCTTCAAGGATCCAGTTGAAAGCTGGGACCTATTGCGAGCACCAACAGTACATATACATAAGTGACCCTGAGCTTGATGGAAGCGTTTAGCACCACTAGGCCTACGAATTCTTCAAGGATGAGGCCGTTGCAGTAATCTGAGATAGCTACATTATCTATGAGGAAGGGCAAGAAGGACAAGTTGGGGCGTTCATCGGTGACGCTGGTGAAGTTTCGATTACCGTTCTCGGTGTCATAGAAGAAGCCAACCACAGTCTGGGGTAGCACCTTATGGTTATCGGAGATGAGGCTATTCCAGGAGCAACAGACACATTTGTAGCTGAACAAGGAGTGGGTGGGGAGGCGGCGGAGGATCTCAAGAACGACATCCTCTGTGAGGCTGGCCAGTGCGTTCCTCTTGCTGGGGGCCTCCTCCATTTCGTAGAGCCTACAATCGTCATTGTGCAGTGGGATGAGAGCTTCCTTACTAATGAGATCACTAAGATCTTATTTGGATCAATCCACATGTGTTGGGGTGGATTGAAGTGGATCTTGAGCTAAATTTTATAGCAATCAACCTCAGCACATGTGGATTGAAATGAATCTAACAACATCCAAACAAGGCTTAAAGAGGAAAATAATCGACAAAGATCCATCATTGAAGTGCGAAAGCATACCTTGCCTTTGGATCTGGCGGCGGTGCGACGCGAGACATGCACACAAATAGCGAGAGAGGAACAATGGGACTGTCATGCGGGAGGTGGTCGCGGCTGGCTGGCCTTATTAGGGCTCCAGTCCAGACGAAGGGTCCGGATTCAATACGCACAATGGTTGCTTCACCGCCGGATCATACGGTACATCGACCATGATAACTTACTTCACCGTTGGATCCTACCATAGCGCACACGTCCATCTTGGCACCGGCGGTAAAAAAAATATTACCTCCGCCGGTTTCTCCGGGCGTTGGGCATAGAACGAGCAACGGTGGTGAAAACTCATTCACCGCCGGTTCGGCGGACGACACGGCAGCAATGCCTGGCATTTTGTTCACCGCTAGATCATACGCCGAGCCGGTGGCGAAAACGTCCATTACCACCTAGTTATTCGCCCAGGAGGGACCCCAGGTCATAAACCGGCGGTGATATGTATCACCGTCGATTATCTCAAAACCGTTGGTGAAGGTCCTGGCGGTGAATAGACTTTCTGTAGTAGGGTGTTTGGGTTAGTTGTGGCCGGACACCTGGTGAGTTCACGTGGTAGCCGGAGTCATTAGACTGCATGTAGATTTAGTTTGTTAGGATTGCATTAGTTGGTTGATGCAAACAGCGAAGACTGGGTCTCAGCTTCACAAAGCTGTTTTTCCAACTTCTGTTCCTCATGAAACTTCTCTTTATGAGCGGGTTTTTCAGCTTCCTGTGAGAAGCTGTTTTACCAAAAATTTTTTTGAAAAAGCTTTAGTTTCACTAGTGAGGCTGCTTTATGGAGCCCAAGCTAAAAGCACTACTTCACTGGTGAAGCTGAGTCACAACAAACATGTGCCTAGTTAAGTGCCGTTGGATCCTAAGGGATTTTGAGAATATAGATAAAAATAATTCAAACTGTTTTACTCCTTTCGCCCTCGAATAAATCAATTTCTATAATCTATGTCAGTCAAACGTAAAAAAGTTGATATAAAATGAATATATTATGAAGATATATTCTATAGTATATCTAATGGTACTAATTTGATACCATAAAAATGACGTTTTTTTCTTAGAAATTTGGTCAAAGTTTAAAAAGTTTAACTTAAGACAATTTTAGAAATCTATTTATTCAGGGTAAAGAGAGTACTGGATTTCAAGATTTTAAAAACCTATAAGTTAAAATCCCTATAAAATCTAGACCATTTGATGAGAATTTAGGGGCCTGATTGGTTTGTGACCAAAATTTGTCATGCCAAAGATTTGGTAAGTCAAAGCTAGTAAAAAATTACTATGAATTTGGCAAGGTACATGTGAGAGGTTGATAAATTTTGATAGCCAATCAAACACTAGTTAAAATCATAGCTTACCAAATCTTTGGTTAGGTAAATTGGGAACCCAATCAATGATGCTGTAGGAACATGAGACTTTTTCTATCCTGATTCTTAAAATTCTTAAAATCTAATTTGACTTTTTTTTACATCAAGTTTGAGACAGTCTTATTCAAAAATTTACGTGGTTTGGTTTATTAATAAAAATTCTTCAAGAATAACTTAAATTTGACTATATTTGTATAAATTTTTTGAATAAAACGAGTGGTCAAATTTGTAGCCAAAAAAGTCAAACGTCTTACCATTCGGGATGGAGCTAAGGAGACAGTATTACAGTATCCTGCTTATGTCCTCCGGTAAACCCCTTGCGTTTCCGATTGGACTCTGGCAGCGTGGCCGCTCCGCTCGCCTGCCGCTACAAATAGAACCGACGGTGTGTAAAACAGAGCAAGGGGGAACGCTCGCCAATCTCGTGGCGAGAGCGAGACTCCACCTAGGGTTGCAAAGTTCCAATTTTTCCCCAACCCCGCGCCGCCTCCGCCGGTGGGCGTCGATATGGAACCGGCGATAAACAACGGATCTGGATCCGGCTCCGGCTCGGGACCTATCGCCGGCGACGGACGCGATTGGTCCCGCTTGCCGGAGGACCTGCTGGTCAGCGTCCTGCGAGCAGTGCACGTCGCCGACGCCATCTGCTCTGGCGCCGTTTGCACCTCCTGGAACGCGGCGTACGCGACGTTCCGCCGGTTGCGTGTCCCGTCGCCGAAGCAGCCCCCCTGCCTGCTCTACGCTTCCGATGCCCTCGGCCCCGGCGACGCCGCGCTCCATTGCCCGTGCACTGGAGCCACGCTGCGGATCCCCTTCCCGCGGGCCCCGCTCGCCCGCCGGCCCCTGCTAGGCTCCGGCCACGGGTGGCTTGTCACTGCCGACGAGGCCTCCGACCTGCACCTCCTCAACCCCGTCACCGGCGCCCATGTCGCGCTCCCGCCCATCACCGCGCTCCACCACGTGCGGAGGGGCACGGACGAGAAGGGCGACCCGGCGTACCTCGTCTACGAGAATCTTCTTGAGTTCAGTTACAGCAAGCGCCGGTTCGAGCGGGACACGCAGCCGACCATCCTGGAGGTGGACCGGGCGCATGAGTTCATGTACTACCGCGTCGTGCTCTCGGCCAGCCCGTCCGCCGGGCGTGCCTGCGTCGTGCTGCTCCTGCATATGCCTGATGGCGAGGTCTCCTTTGCCAGGCTGGGCGACGACCGGTGGACTTGGGTCGCACCGGGCGCCGACGACGACGACACGGGTCTCCCGTCAAGGTTCGGCTACCGTGACGCCATGTACAGTGCCGCTGATGGCTTGTTCTACCTGGTCCGATTAGACGCCTTCATGTGCAGCTTGGACCTTAACGGGCCTTCGCCGGTGGCACGTAAGGTTCTCAACTACCTGCCGAAGTCTGTCGACCCGACCAAATACCTCGTTCAGACACCAGCCGGTGACATCTTGCAAGTTTGGAGGTTGAAGGACTACATCGACTCGACGATGCCGGTGCACTTTCCACCAGACTACGTGGACGATGGCGAAAGGGGTATGGACCCGTGTCTGGAGCACAATACCATTGAGATGCAGCTGTACAAGGTTGACCTGCATCGACAGAGGGCGGAGCTGATCAAGAGCCTGCCAGAGTATGCATTGTTTCTTGGCTTCAATGGCTCTATGTGTCTACCGGTAAAGGATTTCCCTGGGTTAAAGCCGAATTGTGCTTACATGACCGACGACTCCGTAGAGTATGTGAGTTTCTGGAAGCTTAACCGGCGAGAAATTGGTATTTGGAGTATCGCAGAGCAAAGTATGTCGAAGCTTGTTGACGTCTCCCCAACTAGATATCCTTGGTTGAATTGGCCATCTCCTATCTGGATTCAACCATCCCTTTTCTAGCTAGTGGAGGATGCTTGCAAAAACGGCTGTACTTTTTATCTGAATAATTGCTATTATTGGCTTTTATATTCACATAGTTGTGACCATTAGTTATAAGTATTGTCTATGTAACTTCGATTGTAAATTAGTAAATCGATTTATTTCGCCACTCCAAATAGTTTTATTGTATTTGTATTATCTGTTAAGGCAAATATTTGAAGATGGATGGTTACTTGTTTGAAGGAGCCCAATGGCCCACAGCAAGATTGCATCCTGCCTGGGTCCATCAGCGGGGACAGCCGTGGCACCAGGATGGTTTCGCTGGCCATTGAGTTCCACGAGCAGATCAACAAGATTCTTATGCTGGCCAGTTATTAGTGGGAATCCATGAGCAGTGAGGGGCAGCATGACAGCTTCCTACAGGTCAGGTTCGATGTGCTCCAGGATGAATACTGCAAGTTGATCGGTCATATGTGTTCACCATGTCTGATGCGCGGAGCTTTGTCAAGGAACTCAAGTCCTGGAGGTCCTGGGTTTTGTCCCCTTTTTGATTGTAAGAAGGTTGTTGACACTGGTTTGCTATTGTCACACATGTGCAGCAGGCACCCAAGGGCAATCCTGCCGGACGCCACAGCTTCAGTCAGTATTGGATCAGAAACTCTGTGATGAAGCATTAGAGGGTGATGATTCTACGGATGGGGTGAGATTTTGTGAAGATTCAGAACAGAAAGACATGATCTGCTTCAACAAAAGCAGCGAGGCACTAAAATGGTTGTTCTATGCACCTTCGATTTGAGTATGGCCAAAGCCATTTCCTGAGAAAAGACGTAAGGTTCTTGAAAGTATTAAAGAGAAGATGAAGACTCTACCTGCAGATATATCTAATACAGAGGTTTGTCAATTTTAAGTGACACCACATGACTTCGATTTGGCATTTCTTAGCTGAATTCAGAGCTCTGGTAGCTTATATATTAGTAAAATACTATGCAGTTTAGGTCAAGTTATACAGCTGTTTGCTCATATTGTATACGGTAATCATGTTTGCAGAGAGAATTAAAGAAATGCATGGCTGAAGATTCAGGATTAGCTGCTAATTGGATCAGTGCTGCTGATATTGAAGTTGTTAATCCTTCCAGCAATGCTGTTGAGGAACATGGTTCGAAGTCATTCCATGCAGAGGAGATCAAGAAACAGGGGACATTATACAGGTAAAGATCTAGATAAAGCTTGTTTTTGCTATTTTCGCATTTTCCCAAATGAAAAATGATAATACTATGGCTATCGATCTGTGGGCCACTCTTAAGTTGTTTTATTATTTCATTTGTTGCTACAACTAAAAATCAAAGTAAATTGCTACACAATGGAGTTCCTTACAGTCCTTTATTATTGTTTCATCAGATGATTCAGGAAAAGTACAAGTACTAACACAGGGAATTCCTTTCAGTCATCCCACTCGGATGGGGCTCTAATGGTCAGTGGAGATCATCAAGAAAGGTAATTTCTATTTAACCTGTCTGTCTGTCTTGTTCATAGCTTTGATTGATGTTATAAATTGTGTAGTAGTTTGACAAACTGACACAATGGGATGTGCAACATAACATTGTTAGGGGTTATCTATAGTAGATCTGGGGTTGATTCTCACAAATTTATTGTCCAACAAAGCATATTGTCCAGTAGTGCCTATCCATAATATTGGAATATTTGTTAGTGTCGCACAGAACTTTTGAAAACACTTACAAACACAGAAACCAATAGAATTATTCACTTATGTTTTCTACAATTTTATTTGTGCTTAATCTTATTTTTGCAAAGCGGATAGTGCAGTTTACCATTTCGATGCAATGTATTGTTTCATCAAAACTCTGACCATTAGAATTGCCACTGGTGTCCTTTTTAGAAATTTCTCAAGACTTGTTTGTATCCAAATAATCCCCTTCCACTGAATTTCCTTTTGTTTTCTCACATGTTCAGCTCACAAGTTTCATTACTGTTGCAGTAATGTTTGAAATCAAGGGGAGAGTTCTGAGAGCCCAACAAGAAAACAGAATCATCAGTTCCGGCAATCAGTATGGCAGAAAATAATCAGGAAAGGTAATGATACTATGGCTTGTTGTTTCCTGCTTTATACCTTTTTTTCTGAGTTAGTTACTTGCTGTCCTGCATCTTAGTTTTGATTACTGTTGCCAAATATCTAGCAGTTTGACAGCATGCTTCTATCTTTTTTTTGGAGGTACTTGTATCTTTGCGAGAAAATTGTTAAATTGAGCCTATTGAATGTACTAAAAAGCTGCCTGGAAACTAGTGTGTGTACCTAAAGAGAATGGTAGTCTTGGTGTTCTCAATCTCTACTCTCAGAATGAAAGTTTGTTACTGAAACACCTCCATAAATTTTTCAATAAACAAGATATCCCCTGGGTTCAACTGGTTTGGAGTTGTCATTACCCAACTGGTAATCTGCCAATCAACAATAAAAGGGGATCCTTCTGGTGGAAGGTGCTCTCAAATTTCTAGACTCTTTTAAGGGCATGGCTTCAGTCATAATCAGCGATGGGGTCCTCCTGTCTTTTCTGGACAGATATTTGGAATGACAGGCTGCATAGTACTCAATTCCCAGAGCTCTTCTCTTTTGCCAAGGATAGGCACATTTCTGTTCAAAAGTTTTTGTCTGCAGGGAAATGTCTGAACTCTTCCATCTTCCTCTCTCTATTGAAGCCTATGACCCGGCTAGCATTTCTTCTAGAGGGCACTCATCTTCTTCAAGGAAAGGATGTCTGGTCTCACAACTGGGGCTCCAATGTGCTTGCTTCAAACAAGCTTATTTGCATCTGATGGGCACCCGACAGGTGCCTTTGGCATACTCTTGGTTGTGGGACTCCTATTGTCAGCCCAAATGAAAAGTTCCGGGAACTTCTGAAGAGGAAGAATATGGTGTTGGAAAATTACAACTGTGTGCTATGCCATTTGGACACTGAAGAATTCTTGTTCCATTTATTTCTGCATTGCCCCTTTGCTAGGTCTTGCTGGAAGTTTTGGGTTTAGCTCAGCTTATTCAAGGGGACATCCTGGACACGCTCCCTTTTCAAGACTCAAACACAGAGGCCTTTCTTTATGGAGATTATGGAGATTATTGTAGCTGTGTTCTGGGCAATTTGGTCTGCCAGAAACGATGCCATGTTCAGGAATCTACAGCACTCAGTCAACTCGTGCAAGTCCACCTTTCGGCAAGTGCTAGCTCTAGTTAAGCTTAGAGCTAACAGCAAGTACCAACCTCTGTTAGATCTAAGGCTAGACAACTTTGTTACTTTGTTTCGTGTACTCTTTCCCCTTTTTAGCTTTTAATAAATTCCAGTAGGGGACCCTTGGTCTACTTTATAGCTCACCAAGATGCCCAGCGTTGAATCACTTGGCGAGATGGGACTACAGCTCTACGTGACTGCGCCTGTGCACTACGCCTGCAACTCAAACACTCCGCGGGCTGACCTGCATCCACGTGGGCCACGGCCTGCTAAAGTGCTAATGCTCAGCGCCAGCAGCCCGCCATATGCTGAGTCCAGTGCATGCACTACGACCCACTAGCTAGCTACAGCATTCACGTAAGGAGCATGCATGTTCTTTGTTTCAGTTTTTTTCTTTCATTTCACATTTTTTGTTTTCTAAATGTACTGTGTGATGATATGATAGATCGAGTTTAAAAAACCCATGGGGTTTATGGGGTTAGGTGTTACACGCCTAGATCCATGCCCACAAACTCGCTGGTCTAGCTTTTTGGCAATTAACAAACTCATGGGTGAGATTGACCCATACCCTTGGTCTAATAGAGTAAAAAACATGCCGGGTTTTGGGTCTCTAGGTACACTACTAAAGACGTGAAATTTCCTGATGGTTTTGATTTTTTTTTACATTTATTGCATAAACCGTCTGGGTAATTAACTTTTCTGGTCAAATTTAGTAATCATTGCAATTATTAGTTGAATTACCATATAATAAAGTAATAATATCTACACTTAGAAAAATCTATAAACTTGCATGACAACATGATTTTGGTATAATCATTGCATAAAAATTTCAAATGAATTAACAAAGTTGTACTGCATATTGTTCACAAATGGATATATCCCGCACATAGTTATACGACTAAGTAAGAGATGTATCAATTTGTGAAGGATGTATAGTCCCACTTTATTAAAATTGCTTGAATTTTTTATGGAATGCTTATGTACCCAAAATATGTTGTTGAGTCAATTTGCGAATTTTTCTGATCAAATTGCAAGCATTTGTTGAATTACCATATAATGAATGTAATAATATCTAGACTTGGTTAGGGAAGTCTATAAACTTACATGACAGCATGATTTTGGTGTATAATCATTGCACAAAAATTTTAAATAATTTTAACAACGAGGTATTGCACATTGTTCACAGATGGATGTCCCGCACATAGTTATATGACTAAGTGAGAGATGTTTCTATTTGTGAAGGATGTATATAAAAGGATCAAGATGCCCAAGAGAGGGGTGAATTGGGCTAATTCTAAAATTATTTGCAATAATTAAACCCTACAACCGCTCACCACTAGTCCATGTTGGAGCACCCGCGCAAGGGTGTAGCTCCCCCTTGATCTGTGCAAGGATCAAGTGCTCTCTACGGGTTGATTCTTCGACACTCTGTCGCGGTGAATCACCCACAACCGCTCACAACTTGAGTTGGGTCATCCACAAGCTCCGCCGGATGATCACCAAGCTCCCAATCACTACCAAGCCGTCTAGGTGATGGCGATCACCAAGAGTAACAAGCACGAACTCTCACTTGACCTCGACAAGCCTAATGAGAAGGGTGGATGCACACTTTGCTACTCTTTCTTTCACTAATGAGGCCTCTCTCTTGGATTCTCAAATCTCAATCACCTCACTAGGACCTTGCTCTTCTTGGCACTCTCAAGGGTGTTTCTCAGCTATTGAAATGAGCAAAAGTAATCCCTTGAGTGAATAGAGGAAGTATTTATAACCCCTCATTCAAAACGAACCGTTATGTGCCACTACGGGGTGACTGGACGTTCCGGTCAAGTTGATCGGATGCTCCGGTCTGTTCTCCTCGCCACCGAGCAGTTAAGTTGTGACCGGACACTGACCGAACGCATCCGGTCACGAAAACTGCTCTCTAGAACCTTACTGATATTGACCAGACTCTGGCACCCAGCGTCGGGTCACTTTGCTGCTCAGCATCCGGTCAGTAGCCGGAACCTGAGTAGCGTCCGGTCAGCACTGACCGGACGCGTCCGATCAGGATTCTCCCTCTCTGGAACCTTACTGGAATTGACCGGACTCTAGTACCCAGCGTCCGGTCACATTTCACTTAGCGTCTGGTCACATCCAGACGACTTCACCTTGATCAAATGAACTGACCGGACTCTACGCCAGCGTCCGGTCAACATTTGTCCCTCCATTCACTTCCAACTCGCAATCATATGCAAATGAAGTTTGCTCCAATTGATCTAAGGGCCACTTAGGAGCTACCTAGTGCTAGATTTGACAAGTGTGCACCACACCTAACCCACTAGACTCACCTAGGTGAAGCTACCCATCCATACCCCCCTTAATAGTACGGCCAAAGGAAAAACAAAGACCTAAACTACTCTAAGTGTCTCTTCAACACCAAACGACACTTAGAACTAGTCCATCCTTAACCTTGTCGTCTATCCTTTGAAAACAGAAATGATTTCCATCATAGGGGCATGACAACCATGATTGCCCAATCAATTTCCATTACCATGACCTAACTTTATTGCATCTATAAAACACACGTTAGTCATAGTAATCTCGTATTGTCATTAATCACCGAAACCCAACTAGGGGCCTAGATGCTTTCAATCTCCCCTTTTTGGTGATTGATGACAATACAACCTCGAGTATGTAAAAGAGATGAGGTTTTCAACATGCTTGGTTCATATAAGCTTTTGACAATAAGAACACAAGAGTTAGGGAAACTTATATGAAGTAAGCATGAGTACAAGAAATAAAGCTCATTTGCATCGGAGTAAACACACGGTGTCGAGGACCTAATACCGAGGTACCCAATGAGGTGGAATTAATAACCATCGAACGTTGATGCTTCTGGTCAGACAAGAACGCTACTACACTTCTTGCCCGAACGATGGAAGATTGGTTCCGCCTCGCCCGACCCACAAGGGCTAAGACTCCACCTCGCTCGATGGCTGAGGGCCAGCTCCACCTCACCCAACGTCCGAGGGCAGGCTCCACCTCGTCCGATGGCTGAGGGCAGGCCCGCCTCACCCGACTTCCGAGGGCAGGTTCTGCCTCGCCCGACGTCCGGGGGCAGGCTTCGCCTTGCCCGATGTCTGAGGGCTAGGCTCCGCCTCGCCGACAGCTGAGGGCTGGGTCCGCCTCGCCGACAACTACACCCTGCTCCTTCATAAAGACAAGCACAGGGTATGATAGGACATTCGAGTCAACCACAGTACCGAGGGCCATGCCCTGCATGCCTATAGGAAGGTACCATCAGGATACGATGGGACGGGCGCTTTAAGCCCTTTTTGACCTGATAGAGCCCGAAATAGTGTTATAGGCGCGCCATCAGCCCTCGGGTGCGGATACTAACACAGGCATACGACAACCACTACAGTCCAAGAGAGAACTCGCGTCATTAATAGTAATAGGCGTATAGTCACTTCCCCGTCTACTCCCCGCAGAGTCATGACTCGGCACCTTGACACACCGCACCATCTGCCGGGGAGGATGGGACGCGACCACTTGCTGAAACGAAGCCAGAGCCTGGCCCTATCAGGATCAACGAGGCATGCTATCCCTGGCATGGTCTGCCATGACAGCAGGGCAGGCTCAAGGGAAAAGGAAGGCCCGGCACCTTCAAAGGACCTTCTATGCCTTTGGTTTTTTCCTCTTTCTCCCATCTGTAACTCCTGCTCCTCCCTTGGTCTATAAAAGGGAGGGCAGGATGCCCCGCTAGGATGACGGATCGATTCCACACACAACACACAGCCAAGCAGCAACCGAGCTCTTGGCGTCCTTTCGAGCTTTCCATCAGAGACTTGGGACCTGTCTCTCTCT